AGCTGGACACAATACCTTAATCAAGATCAGAAATAAATATAACAAAATTGACCCTAAATTTGTATCAATAGAGCAAGATCCATACCAGTGAAAATCTCTATAGCATATCCCCCTTTAAATGTAAACAAACATTTATAAACAATATTTAGGAATATGGGCGTAGTTATCTCCAAACTGCTTCCTGCTGTTTGTTGGGCAAAGTAATTTTTGGGGGTGTTTACAGCAACCTTTCGGCGGGGGGTATCGTGGTCCATCAAACACTGGCAAGCGTTTTCAGGGGTAGAATTTGGAATGGGAAATCCCAACATCCTAACCTTTGTGGGTGTATACGGACAGCAGTAGGGCTCCCACCTAAACACATAAGTGTTCCCTTTTCTCACATCTTTGTCAGCACTTATTGTTTGATTTCTTGGTGATAGTCATTCTGGCTGGAGTTAGGTAGAATTTCAAAGTAGCTTTAATTTGTGTTTCCCTGGTGACTGATGTTGAACATTTTAAAAAAATACTTATTAGATGATGGGTGGGGTATCACACAACTTTAATCCTATCACTTGGGGGTAGAGACAGGTTAACCTTCGTGAGTTAGAGCTTCGTCTACAAGCAAGTTCCAGGCCAGCCAGGGCTGTACAGTGAGACCCTGTCCCAAAAATCAAACAAAGATAAACCAAATTATTAAAAAACACAGAAATGTCTGTTAACCGTTTGTATTTCTTCTTTGGGATCTCTGTTCAGTTCTATGACCCATTTTTTGGTTGAGTTGTTTTCTTGGTGTTTCATTTCTTGAGTTCTTTGTATATTCTAAATACTTAATCTTCTATCAGATACATAGCTGACATTCTCTGGACTGACTCTTCACTTAAACGAGAGTTTCCTTTGATAAACAAAAGCTGGTGAGTTTCATGAAGTTTTAATTGTTGATTACATTGACTGTACTTCTTGAGCAATCACAGTGCTATTCTTAAAGTGTACTCTATGCTTTTTCCTCTTGCAGCTTTTGATCTTAAGTTGAGGTTCTTGATCCATTTGGAGTTGATTTTCTTCTTTTACATGTATAGATCCGTTTTTTCCAGTGCCATTTTTCAAGATGGTGTCTTTTCTCTAGTGTGTATTTTTGGCATCTTTATCAAAAATCAGGTAGCCTTGTATCTGTGTCCTGTATTATTTTTTATTGATCAATATGTTTTTTATTATTGTGGCTCTGTAGTATGATGAGATCAGGTGTGGTGATACCTTTAGTAGCATTCTTTTATGCTCAGGTTTGTTTTTCCTTTCTAGGATCTCTTGTGATTCCATGTGAACTTAAAGATTGCTCTATTTTTGTGAAGAATGCCACTAGATTTTTTTATTGGAATTGCTTTCAATTTATAGGTTTCTTTTAGTAAGTAAGCCATTTTCACAATATTGATTTTTTTTTTCTAGTTCATGAGCATGGGATATGTTTCTGTCTTCTGATTCTTCCTCAATTTCTTTCAGAGTTTTATAGTTTTTATTTATGTGAGGTAGGGAGGAGAGAGATGACTTTCATATTCTTGATAGGTTTCTAACAAGTTTTTTGTTGTTGTTGGGTTTTTTGTTTTTGTTATTGTTATTTCTTTGTTTTTCAAGGCAGGTTTTAATCTGTGTAGTCCTGGCTTTCCTGGAACTCCCTTTGTAGACCAGGCTGGCCTCAAACTCACAAAGATCCGCCTGCTTCTGCTTCTGAGTGCTAGGATTAAAGGTGTGTGCCACCGTGCTTGGCTAACAGGTTATTTTTTAAAGATTATCATGAATGAGATTATTTCCTTTTACCTTTCCATTTTCATTGGTATCTAGGAAGACTAATGATTTTGTGTGTTAATTTTGTGTATTAACACTCTACTGCAAGTATTTGTTCTAAGAGTTTTCTGGTGGAGTCTTTGGATCTCATATGGAACCTTAACCATCTACAAGTAGTGCTGCTTTGACTTCTTCCTATTTTGTCCCCTTTATTTCCTTGTCTTCTGCTCTAGCTAAGACTGCTAGCACTGCACTGGATGAGAACAAAGCAGGTAAACATCATTTTCTTGTTCCTGATTTCAGTGGACATGCGTGGATTTCCCCCCATTTAACATAATGTTGGCTAGAGTTTGTTGTATTATGCTGAGCTATGTTCTTTCTACTTTTAGCTCGCTTGGTCTCTCTCTGTGTCGGTCTGTCTGTCTGTCTGTCTCTGTTTTTTTTGAGGCAGGGTTGCTTTGTGTAGCCCTGACTGTCCTGGACCTCACTCTGTAGATCATGCTGGTCTCAAACTCAGAGGTCTGCCTACGTAGGCCTTTCCTAGTGCTCTGAGTTTCTTTGGGACTGTTAATGTGAAGGGATGTTGAATAATGTCAAATTCCTTTTCTTTATCCATTGGGGTGACTAGGTGATTTTTTATGTAATTTATAGTATTAACTGATTTAACCATATTAGAGTATCTCCAGAATAAACCCAATCTGATATTTTCTTGAAGTCAGTTTGTACCTTTATCATGTGTGTGTGTATTCATTTATGTATGTGTATATTACATATGATAATGATACACATGTGGAGATCAGAGGACAACTGTGTGAGTCAGTTCTTTTCTACTTCGTAGGTCTTGGAAATTGAACCCAAGTCATCAGGTTTGGTGGCAGTTGCTTTTATCTATTGAGCCATCTCATTGACCCAGGTGTAGCTGGCTTAAAAGGAAAAATTTTATTTTTATAATTAAAACATGAGTTAGTTTAAAAGTACAGCCTTAGCTCGGGGGAAGGGTAGACATGGGGAACCAGAGGCTAGTGTTTGGGGTGGGGACACCTTTAGTGTGGGTCAGCCTGTACAGTGATGAGAATACAGCTTTGACACACAGAGACAGGAAACAAGCAGGATATCTACAGCCAGACAGGAATAATGTGGATGGGTGACACAGCAGCACAGCTGTATAAAGAATCCTCCAAAGGAAGGAGTCCCTCCCACAAAGATACGTCCCCCTCCAGATCTTAATCTAAGTACACTCAGAGTGTGCTGCAGAAGACTGTCACCAGGCATCCCCTGTGTTAATAGCACTAACCCCACTGTCTTAACTGACTCAGAATCTGCCAGAACCAGTGCCAAGTTTTGATGTTTGCTATTACCTGCTTACTTTTCCGTGCAACACAGAAAAGAATAGGCAGATGGAGTGCTGCCAGCCAACCTTATAGAGGGGGAAGCAGCTTTGACCCTTCTGAGAAAGAAGGCATTGGGAAAATACTGATGTGGGGGCATAGATACATTGGGAAAGAGGAAATGACAGAAGCTCAAATAGTTGAATTTTGTTGCAATAAATGGTAGAGCTCAGGGGGTCATTGAAATAGATTCTTCACCTTGGGCAGCACCTCTGAAGAAAGCACAGCACTTAAGGATGTCAGTGAAACACATAGCTTGCTATCACCCTGAGAGATCCTGAAAAGACAAATATAGCCAGATGATGTGAGCTCTTGAGTGTTGACTACTGATTGAGCAGAAGAATAGTTCTCTAACAATAGCCAGGCAGTGGTAGCACTCGCCTTTAATCCCAGCACTCGGGAGGCAGAGGCAGACGGATCTATGTGAGTTCGAGGCCAGCCTGGTCTACAGAACAAGTTCCAGGACAGCTAGGATTATTACACAGAGAAATCCTGTCCCAAAAAGCTTTAAAAAAAAATAATAATTCTGGACTGGAGAGATGGCTCAGGGGTTAAGAGCATTGCCTGCTCTTCCAAAGGTCCTGAGTTCAATTCCCAGCAACCACATGGTGGCTCACAACCATCTGTAATGGGGTCTGGTGTCCTCTTCTGGCCTGCAGGCATACACACAGACAGAATATTGTATACATAATAAATAAATAAATATTTAAAAAAATAATTCTGAGATTGTTTCTCTTACTGTGATTTGTCGGATACTACTTTGGAAGTGTTTCCACTGTTTGTTCCTTTAGTTGCAAGGGAAAAAGGAAGAACTGGGCCCTAATGTCCACCGTGGCTAATATCTATCCTGTTGGTGTATAAGGGAGCCTGGGTAAAATAGATTATCCAGATCTCCCTTTGATGCGTGAGCTGTGGGCCAGGCCCTGTGAGCTGTACCTGGAACTGCCTGTTAAACCATGACCTCCCCTCCCCCAAGCTGGTCCCCTTTATCTGTGATAAACTGCTCCAGACAATCCCAGAGCACCAGGTGTTGTTCCCCAGGGTCCAAATATACAGTGTTTTTCTGATGGTTATCTCATTCCTCAGTGGTAAACACTGCTATGTCAGGGTGCTGCTCAGGGACCACTTGGAGCACATAGATCCTATTTATTTACTTACTTATTTTTGTTAGCAGAATTCAGAAGCTTCACATTGGGCTGCAAAGCCAGGGCTTAAGCCAGCAGCTGGAGAGAGTCCAGGACTGGAGCGTTTGGGGATTTGAGGTGGAGAGCAGAGGGAGAGAGGGAGTGGCAGGAGGGCAGAACAGTACAAGCTAGCAATTCACATTGCTTTGCCTTTAGCTTTGCTATCAGCAGAGTAGACTTCAGTTGTGCTAGAGGGCCACCTGGCCACCATTGCCGAGACTGGAGGGAGGGCGCTGCCTCACAACCCTGACTTAACCATATTGCACCGGACTATTCCAAGTAGCTCCCGTTCTCTCTTTCCCTTGGAGGCAAGTCTCCTCCCAGTCCCCTCCTGCTCCTCCCCCGTTCTGTGAGAGATGATGCGGTTCTCCATCGCTAGGCTCTGCCGACTGATGTCACTGGCAGCGGGAAGCATCAGCAGCCTGATCACATGCTACCTAGTCTGTAATGCAGATGGGATAGGGGTGTGTGGGGGGAAGGGGCTATATGGCAACTATTCTTGTTTGAACGCCTGCAGAAGAAGTACAGAGGCAGCAGCTGCAGCATCCAGCCAGCTTGGATGTCTTGCCTCTGAACCTGGGGAAACTATTATTGGTGATATTTATTGTTGATAGTGTTGAGGGGAAACAACCCTTAACTCTGGGGGTTTGTTTTGCTGTTCTTTCCAAAACAGACTTCCAGGACTCTGAAGAAGCTGTTACAAGCAGGATGCTTTTTCCCACCTCTGCGCAAGAATCTCCCCGTGGCCTTCCAGATGCAAATGGCTTGTGCCTTGGCCTGCAGTCACTCAGTCTGACTGGCTGGGACCGACCCTGGAGCACTCAGGACTCTGACTCTTCAGCCCAGAGCACCACACAGTCGGGTGAGTGCAAGGGAATGGGATGACTGGCTGGGGGAGGGGGACAAGTAGGGTAGTGAGCTAAGATACCAAAGCAACAGTTGTTCTGTTCCCCCTTTGCATCACTCCCCTATATACACGCTGTTTTGCAAGCGATGGTAGCTCTGAGTGTTGCAAGACAGATAAGGTCGCTGCTGGCAAAGGCAGATGCAGCTTTTCTAACTTGCCCTGGCAAATTCCCTGGAGTTATTAGTCTACACCTGAGGTGGCCCTGACAAGGGTCTCCAAGGTTACAACCTTTTGCAGATATGATCCATCTAAGCCCCTGGTGCCAGGCCTGTCTTAGAGATGATGAAGCAAAACACTTTTAGGTGGGGGAGGGGACTTAAGAGACTGATGGCTGGATGACCAGATTCTGTTCAGTGGTTTTAAAACTAGAGAGCTATATGTGACAGTTGGGTAGCCCTGAGTCATAGCAAAGATGATTAACTGAGCAGTTTTATTTGAATTAATATTAGGATTGCATTAACATTAGGTTAAGAGCAATTGATCCTGGAAAGGGGCTGACTAGGAGGGAGGGTAGGGTAACTCCCATTTATAGAGAGGACATAGGTGGTCCTCTCCTCTCCTCCGGCTCTGCCTTGTCTGTTTGTTGAAGGTTACTAATAGATGAGGGGCCACTCCCCTTTAGGATCCCTTGTCTTCTGGGTTTTGGATTAATGAAAACAGATTACAGGGAGTTCTTGACATACCTTTGAACTACTTATGGTCAGACCTTCCCATTACATGTTTATTCCCTTCTTGTGATACATAGGGAATATTGGCCTGATAAAAACCTTAAGATTGTCCAGGAAGAATCGTGAACTTAAATGCTACAGTATTACTCAAAATCGATATATTTTACTTTAAGTTGTGTCATAATACAAAAATATTAGCAGCTTCTGGAGGAAAAGGGGAAATGGGGGACTGGGTACCTGTAGGCACTGCTGTTGCTACTGGCAGTGGAGCACACTAAGCCTGCTGTCCTTTCGGATAACCTCCCCAGTCTAGGACCAGCAGTCCTGACAGCAAGGTGCTGCTATATTGATTTCTCTGGCCTCCACCCTATTTGATGCAGGTGTTTTTGTTTGTTTGGGGATTTTTCCCCTTTGGTTTTGTTTTGTTTTTACAATGGCTTTGCAGAGTCTGAGACTCTTAATGTCTGTTAGACATTTTAATGCCCATTTATTTTGGTAAAATGCTTTGGAGAAGAGGAATGTTGATTTTTTTTTTTTAATTGGCTTGTGGGTAGGATCTCTTGAAGGTAGAGTTATCGTGAGTGCTACCTGCTTTTTACCTAACGCCAGCTTTTTTGGAAAGGTTGATCACTATCCTGTTTCCTAGACCAAGAAATGTGTCACCATTCACTGTCCTTTGCTTTGGAGACCACATTATGTTCCTTTATCTGTTCTTTGAAACAAGCCTTGTCCTTTCTTTACTCCCACAGGATCTGAGCAAAAGAAGAACTCACACGAGAAATGAGCCCCTGTGTGTGGTCATCAGTGTCTGATTTGTGCTGGCATCAGATTGGGGTGTGGCCCTTCTTTGGCTCTTGTTTTTCTTAGCTGTAAAGTTGGCTTCTGAAATAAAACTTCAGGCCCATAGAAATTTAGATGTGTCCATCTTGAGGCTTAGAGAGCCTGCTCTAACAGCTAAACAGTAAGGTGATTGCTCAGGAATGAGCTGGGCAGTGTAACTGCAGGATGTTGTCTCACAAAAGCAAGAAAAGAAGAAAAGTTGGGTCTAGGCATAATTCTGTCAGCTTTCCTACTCTCTGAAGAACCTAGTCTTACAGCTGCTGGTCTCAAAGGTGGGGGGGGGGGGGTTCTTCACTTTCCATCTCAGCACTTTAGTGATAAATATTACATCACTTTGTGAATCGGGGAAGGAATGCAGTCTGAACTTCTGAATTTGTGAAGACCTGAGACCGGCCCCTTGCTGTGAGGGCAAGGTTAGCATGGATAATCTCTTGCTTTCTGGGGCTCAAAGACACACCCATCCCTCATCTTCATGCAGTGTTTTCCTTTAGGAGCTGTGATGATAGCCTCCTTTTCCTAAGCTTTGTGCCTTCGTGGAAAGCCCAGATGAGGGTGCCATCTCCTAGAGTAGGATGGAGCCCTCCCACCAACCAGCTGCAGTTCCAGATCGTGCACCCTTGCCAGTAATGCAGGAACACTCAGCCCACATTCCAGTGCCCACACTGCCTTCCCATCTGAAAACCGACTACTCAGTTTCTTGAGGAAGGGAGGAGATAGTTCAGTAGCTTCAGGAAATCGTAGTTATACTTGAAAGCAGCCTGGTATGCTACTGCCTCTGTGTGGAACCGGTGTGCAAGCTTATTGCTTAGATTCTGGTCAGTTTTACTTTCTCCAGTAAGTTGTAGCCTCATAACTCACTGACTTTACCACTTTGAAGTATTTGACAGTGCATTGGGCAAGGTTGGAGAGTAGGGCTCATGACAGAAAATCTTGACTATAAATTCACTCAGTAGACATTAAGCACCAGCTATATGCCAGGAGCTGATTTGGGCACTGAAGGTGCATCAGTGGATAGGATAAAATCATTGCCATTAAGAATCTCTAGGGCTGATTAGTTGGCTCAACAGGAAAAGGTGCTTGCCACCAAGCCTGACAACTGAGCTTAATCCCTGAGATCCACATCGTAGAAGAAGAGAGCCAACTCCCAAAAGTTGTTTTCTGACCTACACACACATGTATGCATGAGCACACAGAAAAAAATAAATGGAATTTGAAAAATTTTTAAAAGATAATTACTGTGACTATCAAAAAGGAGAAGTCCTTTAATAGAATGTCACAGTTGCAGATGCTTCTTTGGTATCCTGGGATAGGGAATGGAGTGACAAAATAGCTACCTTATATCGATTTTTTTTAATGCTAGCACATCACATGATTTTAATGCTTGCACAGATGATGAAAAAGGCTCACAGAAGTTGCAAAATACCCAAAGTGATGTACCTATTAGTAGGCTCAGCATCCCAAACTTGGTGTCTTTTGTTCTGAAACTCATGTTCTTCCTGTTAAACCCCTTTCTTGTGACAAGAACCTTACCTGTTAGACATGCAGACTTTAACCTCATGTAGTGCAGGGGCTATGTAGCCAAAGGTGATGTGCTCCCTTGATGAAATCTCTTAAGGTGAGGTTTCCCGACAGACAGTTCCCACCTGCTTTCCACCTTTGGTCTCAGTTCATCGGCTTAGCCACCCACTGGATTTGTCTTTTTGTCTTTCCCCTATGACTCCTCTGTGTGCAGCATTACTCAGCAGGAGAGTGAGTGACTTTGAATCTACCTGAGGGACCTGAAAAAAAGAACTCTTAATGACCACTTTGTACAGAAGCCCAGTGGGCAAGCGAGATGCTCAGCCTAAGGATGCCAGAGGACATGTCCTGTCTATTCTGATTCTCTTAGAAGTCTCATGGGATTAACCTGGTCACCGTCTTTAGTTTCCGTACTGTGAAGGAGTTGAATGGAATGTTCCTGTGTTTGTGTCATTTACAGACCTCCCCAGTGATCCACGGGTTAGATCAGCCTGCTATGGCACAAATGTCTTTGGCATTTTTCTCTGCTCTCCCAACCTTTTTTTTAACAGTGTTTATGAGGCAGCGTTCAAAAATGGGTTAGGCTTCTATGTGGAATATGGACTGCCTGGGCCCAAATCTGCATGAGTTCTCTACAAGCAGCCTTTAGAACTAAGAGTACATATAGGAAAGACTTTCAGTACACAGCTATGTTTTAGGTTGGAAAAAATGGCTCCTGGTCTAGATGATCTGTGACTACTCTTAACCAGATAAAAGGCATTTGATGATGGCATCCTGAACCCAATCCCACTTCAGCTGTGAGCTTGAGCTGATAGGTGTGTCTTGCTGTACAGGCATCCAGTGCCAGTCCCTGCTGCTGTTGCCAGTGCTGCCATCAGAACTGGGCACCTCAGACTCTTAGAGAGTGAGGCTTCAGAAACTTCCAATAATGACTCAGCTGAAAATCCAGGGACCTGGCATAGAGAGAAGGGTGAAAGTATGGAAAGTTAAAAATCAGTCTAAAAATATTACTGCTGATTTAGTCTCTTCTCCTCTGAAATGGCATTAATGAGTTGGAACCTTCTGCCAGAATGGGTTGTAAAGGGACAGTCAGGTTACTTAAGGGCATCTGACTTTGGGTCACAGTTTCCAGAAACTTGGCTCATTCTGTGGCCTGAAGGAGACCTCAAACCAGCTCAATTCAGATTCTTACCTATTATTTACATTCGTTCTCTCCCCACTGCTTCATCAGCTGTGCGTTTGCTCTATTTGTATTGTGTATAAACATTCTTTGTGAACTATTAAAAATATAAGTGTGTTTACCTAGATTTGTCTATGACAAAATAGTAATGAACTTTGGGCAGTTTAAATTACAAATTTGTCCTTTGCCCAGTGATACAATAATGCCTTTTTGTGTATGTGCAGCCTTATCCTGTAATGTCTGAGCCATCTCTCCAGCTCCTTTTGGAGCAACTGTCTTGCCTTTTTTTAAACATATATCTACCTGAAGCAGTAGGCCTTAGCTTTCTTTGTTTCTGTTCAGTGTGAGCTTTATACAATATGCAGCTAGTTCTGGCCATCACTTTCCTAAAAGTATTATATTCCCTGTCATTTTTTAAAATATTCTTTATTGTTCACAGTACTGTGTTTCTCTGCCTCTCTCATTCTCCCTCCACTCCCACACGGTGTTTTTAGAAATTAGACTCTTCGTGAAATGTCCTGTATAGTCACTTTGGCTTCTTACATCTTTCAGTGTTAGTCTTCAATTATGCTGTAAGAGTTTTATTTATAAACTTCAATCTTTAAATTAAGGTAAAATCATTTCTTATGAAGCATGTTTGGGTGCAGTAAGGGGAGTAATTAGAAACTTAAAAGAAACCTAGGTGTTTTTCTTTTCTTTTTTTTTAAGATTGCAGTTTTCAAAGCTTTAATGTATATATGCAGACCTTA